GCTGGAAAACTGATGGGTTGAATTCCTCTTGATTTGATGGGTTGAATTCTTGGGTCAGGTTGTAAAAGTGATAGGTTGAATTCTTCTTGATTTGATGGGTTGAATTCTTGGGTCAGGTTGGAAAAGTGATGGGTTGAATTCTTCTTGATTTATCTGTGCACCAGCAGGAGGTGCATCAGATGATGAAGAGTGGCTGTAGGACTATTTTAGGCTCTGGATGGTGTCTGAGGGGTGTTTCAGGCTCTGGGTGGTGGCTCTTGGTGGCTGTAGGAGTATTTCCAGATGGTGTCTTTCAAAGGATTTCAGATCAGGAAAATCCACAGCCGATGTTTGCATGATGCACAGCTGCAGAGTCGGGTGTGTGGCAGTGGCAGGGCTGAACTCGGAGGGGGCAGGAGCAGGTGCAGCACCTGCATTGCTGCCTCTGCCTCTGCCCAGGCTTTGCTCCATGAGCAGTTTGGGACACGGATCCAGGAGCAAACACTGGGTGTGAGTGAGTGACTCCCAGCTCATCCCTGGGCTCCAGGGGAGCAGGGAGCTGCCTCCTGGGCTGTGTGCTCCTCTGCCACACCCTCGAACATCTTAGGGCTCTTAATCATCCCTATAAAACCATTTCCTCTGCAAAACATAGCATCTGTTTGGTGAAATGTCTCAGCAAAGGAAATAACTGGTTCTTTGACGAATTATCTTAAATATCAAGTTCATAATTGAGCATAATGCAAGTGTCAAAGTAGTCATGAGTTGTTACTGCTCTCATAAAATTCATCTTTCTGGATTACTTACAGATGCATCTTGGAATTTTTCAATAATAGCTTGTAAAGGCCTTCTTTAAGCTTCCAGACAGCAATTATCCTGCAGGAATGAAGCAGCAGTAGCTTCTGCTAAAAAAATTATACAATCTGGTTTTGTTCAGGATATTTGACCATCTACAGTAGGAGTTTGGCAAACTAAATACAAGCTACCAAGGTCTGTAAGTTTTTTACTATCTTAATATATATTTTTTCTATATACATCACTTCTGAAACTGCCTGGGAGGATATTTTGGCTCTGGAAATACAATCAAATGGGAATAATTAGTGAGAGTGAGATGTTAAAGCATGGCAGTGCTGCAGGGCAGGGATTTGTCTCCACGTTAGTCACTAGTCCCAATCTGGGAGTTTTATAACCCAGCCTGTTCTCACACGTGTCCACGGGCCCTTCACCTCCCAGCAATGCTTCTTCCCTCTGATTTCCCACCCTTTCTCAGTGACTAATACTGGAAAGTGAAAGAAGTTTTTGATTGCACGAGAAGCTCTCTCCAGAGCGTGTTAAAAACAGGAAAAACAGTGTGTGGGCACCGAAATACACTCATTTAATGGTGTTTTATTGTCTGGCCTGGTGCTGGGCGATGCGTGTGTCTGCAGAGCTCCCACGAGCTGTGTGTTGGATGCTGTCACCCTGGGAGGTGGCACTGTGCTGTCCCTTCGTGCTCCCCTGGCCCAGAGCTGTGTGTGTGAAGCTGCCACAGCCAGCCTGGGCATGGGGATGCTGCAAATACATCTGAGAGAGAGGGTGAGGGCAGGGGGAAATCAAGTCCAGCACTTGGCAGTTGTGTGGAAGAGGGTTCAGAAGAGCTTTTCCAAGGTGTTCCCAGCCCATCTCTCCTGGGACAGAGGTGCTGCAGTCCTGGGCTCGGTGCCATGTGTGGGGAGTAGCAAGAACCTCTGTAAAATCCTGCACCCTTTCCCAGGGGGAGGTTGGTCCCTCACTGACTCACCTGTGTGTCAGGCTTAATCTTCAAATGCATCCTTCTGCTTTAAGCCCTGCCTGCTATCAGAGCTGTTTTGGAAAGAGTGGAATATCAACATCCCTGGGCAGGGCGACCTTTGCCAAGGCACGAGCTCAAGGGGCTGCCAGCAGAGCAGGGTGACCCTTGGGGCACTGGAGGAGCCTCACTCCTGGACCTCTTATACAGCAGCCCTTTCAACAAACTTGGAAACTTTCTCTGATCCAGAAAAATCTCCTTCTGAAAGATTTGAGGCAGTATGGGAAAAGCATTTCTTGGAAAAGGAAGGGATGTTACAGACCAGGGGCTTGGCTAAAGCCCTGCTGGTGTAGGGTTGTGTTAGGGGATTATCAGAGGCAATGGATAAAAGGTTTCTCCTCGATACCATGGGTGTAAGGTGGCAGTGTCTCTGTGTTTTATGGTTGCTGTTGATCTGTGTGAAACTTCCCTCTTGCTGTGTGCACACTTTGCAATTGATGGCAGAAGCATATTGGGTTTCCTTGTCTGCCCTTTTCCCTTGCTTTAAGAACAGTCTCTGGTGATAACAACCTCTGTTGT